GAAAGATTCGGCGGGGAACACGGGTGTCGTCGTATTCGTCGACCGGTTGAACAAGATGGCTCATTTGGCGGCGGTGCCAGACACCATAGACGGAGTCGGTACAGCAACGCTGTTCGTGGATCGCGTTTTCCGTCAAAACGGACTCCCAGAGTCGATTGTCTCTGATAGAGACCCCCGTTTCACGGGAATATTTTGGTCGACTATCTCCAAAGTGCTCGGCACCAAGTTGATATGTCGGCAGCGGATCATCCGCAGACCGATGGTCAAACCGAAAGGGTGAATCGCGTCATCTAAGACGTTCTTCGCAGCGTCCGCGCTGAGACGCCGAGGCGCTGGAGCGCCGTGTTGCCACTCGTAGAGTTTGCACTGAACAATGCAGCGCATTCGTCTACCGGCTACACGCCGTTCTACGTGAACGGGCTTATTCACCCTCGCGTCCCGCTGACGCCGCCATCCCATGGCTCAGGGCTTGGTGGGGGAGGAATAGCCGAACGGCTAGCTGATGTCAACCCCCTCACCATCCGTAAAGAGGTCGATGACGTCTTGTCTACCAGACTAAGTGTCCTACGACACGTTCGCGATGCGATGGCTGAAAGCCAAGACTTGCAAAAAGAATGTGCAGATGAAAAAGGAAGAGGCAAAGTGGGAAGCTTTAAGGTCGTGGACCTGATTTTATTAAATTCTAAAGACCTGCCTACACATGCTGTCTTCAGGACGAAGCTTCGTCCACGGTTCATCGGACCGTTTAAGGTTGTGGCCAAGCGGGGCCTAGCGTATACGCTGAACCTCCCAAAACGGATGCGCATCCGGTGTTTTACGTGGGCTTGCTCAAGCCGTACCGGGATCCAGCACAAGTGAACGAGGAAGCGTTGGGGCCATAGAGGTTCCATGGGCCCTCGGCCGTTCAGAGGTTGAACCAGCAACTGGCTCTGAGCACGAAGTGCAACAACCTCCATATCTAATGGCTCCAAGCGCTCCACCGTCGCATGCAGCGACGCATTCGCCTGCTCCACGGCTAGGAGTCG